CACGTTCTTGTATCATGAATGCTGCACTGCCAGCATGTAAAAAGCCAAGGTGATAATGGGTAAGACTGTTCCCTAAAAAGCCAAAATGGATTTAACCTAATTCTATTAACCAAATTTAGTCTAATTTACTCCATAAATTTACTCCCATTCCAAACTGATTGTGCACTTGAGATAAATATCCCCACTCTAAATGGTCACCTAAACCTTTTACATCTAAAAATGATATACTATGTACTGGGCTGATTTGTCTTTACACAATGAAAACCCAGTAGTGTAGTTATGCTGCAGAGGGCTTGATAATATTATCCAGGATGAAATAGATCCCAAGAATGCCTTAGAACATTTGGAGGGGGGCAACTGGAAACTCTCAATCCTCTCCTGCCATGGCTTTGGATGATGATGTCATGAGCCTTACATAGAATATACCATTGGATTTCAGGCATTATTTCATAATGTTACTTCAAAGTTTAATCATTCCTGTAATTTCTAAATAATTGCCTATAATCAGAAGGCCAGAATCCTATTAGTGATTTATGCTTGTATAACAGAAATTGCATGAAGTCTTGCTGGCAAGTTGCTGCTCATTAAAGAGCTGCTGGTGTGTGTTCCTCAGTGCCTGATTGTTTTGGAACAGCAATTATTTTTTGCAATTATTTTTCCTAGGATTGATGGATGATTTGTTTTTGCACTATCTCATTTAGTCTACTCAATAATAGCACAGATAATATATTAATAAAGGTTTTATTATGTTCTCCAATTAATTTGTCATTTTCTGAAGCCTTGTTACTTTCTTTCACCCTGAAATTATCTGGCGATATTCTTCCAACAACACAAGGACTTCCAAAGATTCAAAAAGCTGTACAGTTTGGTTGGACAGTCTGCGTTTCTACAAAAAGATCTTTATTTCATCCTCAGAACCATTTCCAGAACAATAAAGATTACTAAACCACTCTTTGAATTTAATCGCTATATCTGTTGAAGACATAATGTCCTATCCCCATTCTTTAATGAGGCATCTTATTATTGTTTCTTTTCAAATTAATTGTTTATATTTTTGTACCACAGCACCTACAGGCCTTGCCATTCTCTGGGTGTTTCCATCAATAAAATAAACATAAAGAAAACAGTCAAATCGCACACAATCCCAACATTATAAAGAAATATAATATAAAAGACACATGAGATGGAAGCAGCATATATCATTTGTTTACTTTTTCAAAAATTCGGTGTTTTGAACAGGAGAATATTTTAATAATCAGAACATTGAAATAAGCCTAATTGCTTCCTCACTGCTTTAAAAAGAACATTTCTTTATATATTTCTTTTAATATTTCTTTTGCAATCTTATCCTTAATATTTTTTTAAAGTAAGAGTTTTGAATAAGAATACTTCCGACGACAGCTACTGAACATTCTCAGGCAGTAGTTCTATAACTAGCTGTAGTATGATTAAAATGACAGAACTTAGTTATGTATTTGATTTGTATTTTGCCTTCTTTGAGAATTCCTCTAATTCCATCTGGCTTAGTTAGCTCATTTTGTAACTACAGATCATGTATATGCCAATGCAATATTAGCATTTCATTTTTATCCCAAGCACAATGGAAAATTATTGGACCATGATCTGCACAGGTTTGTAACCCCTTTTCTGCTTTATAGATTGTGTAAAGAGCAGTGTAGGAAAAACATTTTTTTTGAATATGAATTACGTCAACATTACAAAGTACAGTTTCTATTGACTTAGTGATAACAGTATGAAATCTCTATTATCTTTGCATCCACATTTATAGATTCTACCTAATTACTGACACTTATTCTATCCATTCAAGGGACCGCATTGTGCTATTGTTTAAATTCAATTTTTACTGTCAACTAAACTAGATCTATTAAATGAACAGGACTTGTTAAGTCCACATTAAGTCCCATTGATTCAGTGGGCCCACTCTAGTTGGCAATAAAAATTGGGTTTAGCATCATATCTCTTTGTCCAGATCATTTTCTATCACTGCATTTATTTACCAGAAGAACACATTTTTCTTGTTATTAGGGTTAAATATGCATTCTTCTGACTGAATAGTTGGAGGACCTGGAGTTTGACTCCTCACTGTTCCTTCTGAGAGGTTAGCTTGTAGGGTTCACGGATTGACCGACTGGGAAAACACTTCTGAATTCTTTATATCTAGAAAATCCTAGAAGGGTTGCCATAAATCAAAATTATATTGGGTAGCACATAATCAAAATTATAGGCATTCTAGAATAGAAGATTTTTCTCCTGGCTGACCTTTCACCAAAATGGAACTTTCCTGTGAATCCTGCTTGCATTCTGAAAGTGTTTAATAACAACAGCTATATGCCATGGCAGCTTGTGACTAAGCTGCCTCATCCAACATGGTGGGAATTTCCTATGTCTCTGAAATATCTATGGTTACCTATTTCCCCCCTCAACATTACATGAGACAGGTGTGGGATCTGCCCATTTCCAAAGACTCAAAATATTTTTTCTTCTTATTGTATCCATTTCCTACAGTAGTATAGTATTAACCTTTTCCTCTTTTAAAAAGATTTGCAACTTTTGATTATGTACTGGAAGACTGTAGTCCCTCAACAATGTGCAAAATGCTGTTTTTTTTTAATTCTTATTACTGTTTTTTATATTATTAAAAATAACAAATAAGCAACAAGAAAGAAGGGGAGGGACCACCTATACTCATCGTTTTACACACAGGTATTTATATATCTTGGGTTTTATAATCTATTTCATTTCCTTATTCAAAAATTAATTTCTGGTCTGTGGAGCCAGAGGTTGGGAGTTAAGTTTCCCCACTATGCCTTCTTGACAGGGATTGGAATTGATGATTCATAGGGTCCTTTCCACTTCTGTAGTTCGAAGATAAATAAATAAAAAGGGAAGTCAGAGAGAAGGGATTCAACTTGTGTTGGACAGGTTGCTTCATTTCAGAAAACTCAGGCAGTTGGGTGTGTGCTTGCAAAATTACAGCTATACCCTAGTTTTGTTACTACCTTACAATTTGTGATCTGGCTATAGTGACACGTGTCTTAGTTACATCACACTTAGATTACCATAAATGTGCTCTATGTGGGGCTGTGTTTCAAGAATATTCAGAGGGTTCAGCTGGCCACAAATGCTGAAGGCAGGCTGTCAACAGGGGCCAGTTACAGTGAAGATATAACACGTTTGTTATAAAGCACTCTTGCCTGCTAGTCCATTTCTAGGTCCAGTTTGGACAGCTAGCCATGACCTATAAAGCTGTACACAATTTGGGCCCAGGCTACCTGAAGGACAGCATCTCCCCATGTGAACGTCCCAAGGTATGAACTTCATAGGAAGCCCTCTTCTTGGTCCCCCTGTATTACTGTCTATTTAATTTTATTTTCAATATTATTTAAAAATCAGAAACTGTTTTACTTTGGAGAAAAAATGAGAGAGAGAAATCAATCAATAATACATAATGAGGATTCTTCAGGATACTGTACAGTATATCTTTTCACTTTTTACTTTAAATTGTACTGATGTTAATATTACAACTATTTTAGTGCTTTTATTGAATAATTTGGTTTTAATTATGTTTGCTAGCCAGCTTGAACATTAGAGTTCAGGGGAAAGGAGGGATGAAAAAAAATGTAAGCTACAGCTATTTCTGTCAACACTATCACTGCCATCATCTACATTTTAATAACTCTAATTAGTAAGTTCTTTGGTAAATTATTTCTTTGTGAAATATGAAGAGCAATACCTTAAAGGCACAGATGTCATATAAATATTAAGCACATAGTTCCATAGCTAACATACTACTAAATTCATTGTATGTATAAAGCTGAAAATCATATCCTTTTATTTGTAGCATTTTAATCTAAGGTTATGAGAGCTATGGTAGATTTGTGATTCATTTCTGTGAGGTTGTGATTACCATGGGTGTAGAGGAATGAGTGTCAGACTGACTGGTATAATAAATAATCTATCATTGACAGAGGCAGGTAATATAGAGAGTGACCTCTATAAGGGAAGTTGGAAGAAAGAAGGAAGGATTTTGGTAGTGCTTTTACCTAACATTTTTAATGTAGGATTATTATTTTTTAATATTTGAACAATATACTGTTTTTAATTTTTAATATTATGTCTTTAATGATGCAAGCTGCCTTGTTTTTTTTTAAAAGAACGGTGGAGTAAAAAAAAGTATCTAGTCCCCATCTCTAGTTAAAACTAGTGGAATTGTGGTCAGCTGTAGACTTGAAGCCAGTACAGCTGTTTGAAGACTGGAGAATTATGACACATATTTTGAATCCTAGTTATTGTGCTCTGGATATAGTTGTACTACTAGAGAACTTCCATTCACCCTGACTTCATAATTTTTACCCTCTGTCTTTATAACATTTTGCAAGGAACAAAAGGCAGGATATCACACATACTCTCTCCCTTTCTTTCTTTCTTTATCTCTCTCTCTCTCTCTCTCATTTTACTCTTACAAATGTATTTTGGGGAAAGTGCTAAGTGATTTGGAGCAGGGAAATGATGAGCAGTGTAAAAGGTACCATCCCATGCACTACTCCTACATGACCTTCTCACTCATACCTCTATGCCGGTTGAGATGGCATATTGTTGATGCTCAGATTTCAAACAGTGCTCCACATTCTGCCGGGTCTTTTTTGTGCTAATAGAGCATTGTAGGGATTGTAAATGATTCCATCACACTTGTTATTGCTATTATTTCACTTTCCTTTCTGCCAAAATGCTACAGATTTTGAAAATATTTGGGCTAGAAGTCATTTCCTGATGCAAATCTTACCCCCAATCAAACTCCTTGTGCCTCAAACAGGGAAGTTTTATTGGGGGTGGATAATTTAGGTTTTGAAAGTATCAAATATCTTCATTGACTGTTCTCCATGAAAACATAGTGCAGAAAATTTTATTAGAGGAAGAGATTAAGCAGATTAAATTAAAATCTAGAAAGCGTATCTATTTACTGAGCAGTTAGGAATTACCTTTTCCACGAGCTCATAATCCATTTTGAATGCCCAGAGCTGAAGTCTAGGGGTCAGCTCTGTGATGGAAGAAAGCGTGAGAAGGAACTGCTCAGCAGTGCCCAGAGGGATGTCAGGGTTGGCAAGTTGAGCTTCCTGAATTTTCTGTTTCTCTTCTTCAGTGGGAATCATTGTGAGGATTTTCTAGAAAGAAGCAGTGAAGTCAATGACAAACTGCACACTTGTTAAACAAACTTGAGTTCTTATAATCTGTACTCATTCGATCCGAAAATGGTTTTTCTTATTGTTGTTTTGACTTTCATGCTGCCCCATAGTGCCAGAGTACTCTTTGGATGGTTTACAACATAATTGTGCAAGCAACAGCTTTTTGAACATTTTGATGACATCACTCCCCCCCTACAATTTTCTATTGTCTTAATAAATGTTAATGATTATCCATATTAAACTCATGTAAAATCTTTAGAATTGTCCCCCACATTTTTTTCAAAGCAGCTGACAATTAAAATCAAATTATAAACTAATCATTCACTATCCAGCAATAGTGATTAGTGGAATGAAGTTTGCACTTAGATATCTATTGTTGACTGAGCAAGCCATGTGCACACTTTATTTTTGCTTATAGGTATTTCTGTACATGGGCAGCTCATGATTTGACAAAGAGATACCCCCTTTCCTTTGAAATTCTGGGATGAAGTGTACCCCTGGCTCTCTCCTTGAGCCTCCACTGCCCTTTCCTGTGATTTATTTCCTAGTCTTGTTAGTATGTAACACCAGAATGAGACACAAAAAAATTTAGAGTCCATATATAGGCATAATTTAGCAATTTAGTATGTATTAACTGGGAAAAAGCAAAAATGAAACAGACACTTTCTACTACATACTTAGAATTTGCTCCTCTACTGCATCCCACATTCAGTTAAGCACAACAAGTACAAACAAAGCATAGCCTATAGCAGTATTTTCCATCCAAAGGCTTTATAGTAAGTTCATTTTAAACTTCCATTTTTGGTCCCAGTGATTTAGAACTATAAAATGCTTTTACACTACAGTTTTGGTGGTGTTTTTTTTAAAAAATCTCTAAATATGCAACAAGTGGATGGCAAATAACTAGTGGAAGATACCTAACTTAAGGCAATGTGCAGCAATGACATTCCTGCCATTTTTTACTTCAGGGTTTATTTTGACAAGAGAAACAAGAAGAGACTAGATAAAGTGGCAGAAGAAGGATTTGCACCTTAATAGCTGTGTAGAAGGTGGAAATTGTGGCAAAAGGAGTAGCTTGTTATACAGGGAGGAAAAATAATGTACCTTGTAGAATTCCCTCTACTGCACAGGTATTAATGATACAGGAGCCATGCTGTCTGTTTTGCATCTGGTGAAAAATGGGCATACATGTTAAAGAATTAAAAATAGATTCCATGTTGCAGGTTGGGATTAAAGGAGGGCCCATTCTTGGGCAAAATTAAAGAGGGCTATCCAGATAGAATTCTTTCAATTAGGTTTATAGATTTTCACCCCCCCACCGTACCCCACCCCAGTAGCTGGAAACACTGATAATACTTTCAATTTAAACTAAAGTATTCTGCAGTGCTTTCTTAGTACCTCTATTCCTTCTTTATTTAAGGCATATTCATCGAAGTTCAAAATGGCAGTCTTGATCGTCCTTGGAGGGGGTAATACTGTCAGCCCAATATTAATTGCGTTGCTCCTCTTGGAGTCCAGCACAATGATTTCTTGCCTCTTGCCATCTGCAGCAGTTTTCTGAGGAAAAGATTGGGGAATGAGGGTAACGGTTAATTTCTCTGAAGACAATTAAGTACATATGTTAACATCAGAAAACAATCCATATGGTCCTGACTTCTATACTGCACAACAGACAGAACGTATGTGTTTATGTGTAGTGGGGGATTGACCTGAAAAGACAGAAAAAAACGGAATGTGGACCGCAAGTGTACAACATGTCTCCACGCAAACTGGGTTTATTTCTCGGCCATTTCACTGGATTGCCTTGTTGCATATTATCACACAAGTTGGCTCTCCAAGTTACTTTTGGAAATCTTTGGAGGATATGGTGACAAAGACATGAGAACAAATTCAAGCATCCAAGAATATAGCAATCCTGTAATTCAATATTTATATAAACTGGTCAACAGGCAGCACACATTGCTTTGATGGTAAATCTAGCTTAAAGTTCCTGAATTCAGCAGAGTGTTTGTGACAAAATTAATGGATGCTAGATATAGAACATGGAGAATAAATTCCAGAAAATCATCCTTCAAAGCCAAAAGACTGAGGAGTCAGAGGAATAATATTTGTCCATTCATTTTTTATGGTTTATCTCACTTTTCATGGCAAAAACCTCACAGAATAGACGACAAGTTACTTTAATCAGACAGTAAAGAAACACATACAAGAGAGTGCTACAAATCATGAACTAGGAGAGGATTTGGAAAAATGAAGGAAAAATATGGTGGGTTTGAAAAACAGAAGCACATTTTTTAAAAAAAAATAAAAATAAAAATACATGTGAAAATTCCTAGATCACTATTTCTCATGGTTTTATTTTGACTCTATAAAGAACACTGATCTTTCTAAGAGAAATTTCTCTGAGAGATGTCACTTACACTGTTTTAGATTACTAAAGGAGGCACTCGATACAGGAAGGATTGTCTTTATCTTTTCATGTTGCAGATAAAAAGTAATCGGTTTAGTAAACACGAAAATGTTATTTCTTTTTCCTTTAGCAATCAACATATGTAGGTAATATGTATGAGGAGGAAAGAGTTGTAACCTGTTGTGATATAAAACCGGCAGTGATGGGGGAATAACACAAGCTGGCTATACACAGTCAGGCAATCCTAGCTTAGTGGCTACAAGACATGAGCCCAGCAAAGAAGAAATGGAGGAAACAAACAGACCTTTAAGTTGAGGATTGTTTACATTTTATTTTTTCTGTTCCTAGACTTGCAAGACACCAGTTGTTTAGATGTCATACTCTGATCATGAGGCCAATCAAATGAAGGCCGTTGGATCTCGGGCAGTGGGAGACGACATCTACAGACTTGAGCAGGGCAGATTTTGCTTTACCGTGTTGTTTAGACCTCTGATTATGGAGAAGAACTCTCTTTGTATTTCGCCTGCCCCGACGCATCCAAGGATAAGGTCCCTCCATGTATTATATTGTTACTGTTGTCCTTATTTGTAACACAATTACTTCATCAACTATTGAAGGAAAGTTATGTTGTGAACACTCTTTGCAGTTGTATTCAGCTGCTGAGGGACTCTCTCTCTCTCTCCATGGAAAAGGACAGCAGACATAAGGAAGGGACAATAGAGGGTAGAAGGATTCAAGTTCTTCCTGTGCTTAAGGGGAAACTGTATGTTCTTGGCAGAAGCCAAACCAAGCCAAGGGGAGGGGAATTAAAACTCTGGGAGGAAACGGCTGCATCTTACTTATAGAAGCTAAGGAAGGGGTTAGGGAAGGGAGTTGCAGGAATTTTCACAGGCCCAGATATCTACAATCACAGCACAGGGTTGAGGAATAGTTTTGACAGGACCTAAGGAAGTAAGTCAGTATAAATTATCCACACTTGTAAGGATAATTTATGGAAAATGTTGAATGTTAATAATGTCAGCTCAATTCATCAAAAACTTGGCATTACAAAGTACAAAACACACTCTTTGGATTCAAATAACAAATATGTCATCATTCTGCTTTCAAATCATGGAATTATTCATTTTATGGATCTTAGACAACATTTAAAAACTCTCCCTTTCCCTCCATGCTTTGGACAGATTTATAGTGATGGAAGAAGTTATAAAATAAATAGTTCTGAGTCATGGGGAAACTGGATGGGTTGAAATTAAAATCAACTTGCTACATATCAATTACTGATGTCATGCACTTCCAATGCAAATAGACACCCTATACCCATTTTGAGCATTATGATTTAGAATCTGCTCTCTCAGTGATATCTCCAATTTCTAACCTTTTTGTACAGACAGCTCCCCACAACACATACATACATGGAGTAACAATACCCTCTTGACTGGGCATTTTGAGATCTGCATAAGCCTTGTCCATGTAATTTATGTATTTAGGATGCTTTATGATGATGATAATCATTATAATCAAATCAATTCTAACTTATGGCGAGATTTTTCAGAAGTAATTTGACATTCCTTTCCTTTGGGGGATTCCTGGAATTGTGGAACTTACCCAAGGCTACATAGGCTGGCTCTACATGAAGGAGGCACAGTAGGGAAATTGAACTCCTATCCTCTGGCTCTACAGCCAAATACCTAAACCACTGAGCTATCCAGATGCTTCATACCCTTTTAAAAATCTGCATGGTACCACACAAGACAACTTTAAACAATATCATGTCTTTAAAAAGCAATGAAACAAATGGAAAACAATGCAGGTTAAGAAGTGTAACCAGAGCAAAAAGTAGTCTTAAACTGCAGAAATCCCAAAGACCTTCTGAAATGAAGTTTCCTTCCATACAACTTCTAAATGTTAGCAGACAAGAGAGCTGCCCCAAAGAACAAATTCCTTAGCCTTAGCACCGCCACTGGGAAAGACTCCTTAGTCTTGTGTTTGTATGTGTCTAACATGTTTAAAAATTTCTTTATTTTTACTCATGCTGATCATTTATTCATTTTTTTTTAAAAAAAGGTGTTGGTTCTCAGCCTTGTCTGGAAGTTGAGTCATGGCAACTGGGCTTACTTCTTACTAGGTTGAAATGTTTCGCTGTTCATCCAAGCAGCGAAACGTTTCAACCTAATAAGAAAGAGGTCCAGTTGCCATGACTCAGCCTCCAGGTAACCTCACCTAGACGACAGAGAATCTTCACAGATATACTTCTCGGACCTGATGCAAACAACAACAACAACAACAACAACAACAACAAAAAAGCACAACATTCTGATGTTTCTAATCCATAAGTCTTTAAATTTTAACTTGCATACTGGGACTTTTCTGTGCCCATCCCCTTGTCAAAAGCTCTGCAAGACACTGCTGAAGAAGAGTCCTGCAGGACCTGAAATACCACTTGTTTTTGATATTATAGTAGTCCAAATTTAGTAGTCTCACCTTTATTTCGGAATGTTGTATAAGGATCACACTCCCCCCCTTTTTTTTCTTTCTTGTTTGACTATGGAAAATATTGGGGCAGCATCTAAATTAGAGCAAGATCTACCATCACTCAAAAAGGATTGCACCACAGTGCAGAGTGCATGTTCCTCTATCTATTTTTTAAAAATATATAAAATATGCTGGCAGTTTGTTTATACAAATTTAGCAAGTTAATTGCTAAGTTCACTTTTCCTCCTGATTCTTTTTAAATGCATTTCGATTCTTTAAAGACAAATCCCTTTGAAGAGGGTTGCCCTTTTTCACGTCTCATATTTGACCTTGGAACTACTAGCCTGTCCTATTAGTCAAATTTGTAAACGTATCTTGGCTTTGTACATAACCATCTCAAATTTCAAATCATTCTTTACATAGAGGATATTTCATTGTTCATCTCTGAACTCAAATCTGTCCATTTCATCATTAATGAAAATAATCAATATGTTTGAAAATACATCTGGTTATTAAATTAACAGGGCAAACTCTCAGTTGTTGCCATTGGGAGACAATTTATCACAGAATGATTTTTCTGGCTGGCAATTCTAGTGGTTCCCAGACATTATTGGTTCCCAAGGACATTTCACAAATAATTGTGTGAAATCTTAATAAATTGATTTTGGAGATTTTCTTGGATTTGGACAGATGGGACATTATATATGTTCTTTATGAAATTCTTTATATACTCAGCAATATTTTGTTAAAATCAGTCCTATGTTTTGAAAATCTATGTGGGGTTCAACATTATGCTGAATCTCCTTGAAGAGGATGCAGCTTCTATTTAGGATTTTGCTTTCGTGACCTCAGTTTACATTATCTGGCCAATCTGCTAATGATCACTAACTACTGGAACTATTCTGCATAGAGGAACTGTCCATCCTGGGCTCCTTTGGAGGCTTTTCATCTGGTACCCCTTTCTAGATTAATCGTTTTAGGGTCTATGTATGTTAAAACCAACTCTATTTTTTCCAGCAATCTCTGCTGCAAGATTATGGCATGTATTGTCATGACAACTTGTTTTGATTCATTTTCACATGCTAAATTAATACTGGAATAATCTACTCTTGAAACTGCGAAAAAGTCATTTCTATGGAGGGTGTGTACAGGCAGAACAATTTTCATAGTAGGCCAGTTAATTGTATATGATGATGAATTTTTTTGTCATTTTCTAGCTTGAGGGCTAGGTATGACTTGTCAACCTCAGCTTAATGGCAATACCTACAACTGCAGTGTTTCCTGATATTTAAATATGGCCAAGCAGCATTCAGTGCTTCAGAGTCTCCAGTGATCTTGGAGATAGATGTGTATTGAATCAGTTCAGGAAAATGCTCAAAATATAAGCCCTACCCCCCCAAATAAGCCCCAGTTAAGTGAAACCCCGTCCTCCACCACTGTGCAGTAACCACAAGAAGACATGACTGTATTTGAATAAATGTAGATTGTTGTACATGAAAAAAATAAAACATCCCCTGAAAATAAGCCCTAATGCGTTTTTGGAGCAAAAATTAATATAAGACCCTGTCTTATTTTTGGGAAAACACAATAAACACTTTCATTGATGACATGCAAAGGTCTCCAGTGAAGACAAAGGTGATGGAGGTGGGGCTTGTATACATGCCCCTCCTTCCTTCTTCATCTGTTCACATATACAGTCACGGCCAAAAATATTGGCACCCGTGCATTTTTGGATTTCTGTGTGGGATTGTATCAGATTTGACTTCTCTTTTTTTGGTGTTGTTCCAACATAAACCAAAGAAATGAACATGTGAGTACCAAAACATTTGCAACTGCAACAATTTCCTGAGAGAAGGGTTGCATTTTGTGACAGAATTGCAAGAAGGCCAATATTTTTTGGCCGTGACTGTATGTACTCAGATAAGATAAATATATTTAGAAATGAAGAAAATGCTAAGAAATCACACTGCTGAATTCATGTGGCATATACAAAGCATTTCTCCATATCTGAACCAGCAAATGAGCTGTGAACATGCATATGAGTAAGAAGAAATACTTAATTGATTTCGGTGAAAATAACACAGTATTGTATTGAGGTATAGATATATTTGAGCTGGTTGGCATGGGAGCCTACATCAGTCCAACTCAAACACCTTACTGACAGGAACAGCACAATCCTGTGCATGCTGATTCAGAAGTAAGCTGACACAGTTCAACAAAGTTTACTTCTAAGTAAGTATGCATAGAGGTGCATGGAACTCTCACAGGACTGGCTAAACACATTTACTTTCAAGAACAGTGTCTTAATGGTATTGGGTCTTTCCAGACCTAACTATATTAAATAATAGAAATATAAAACAGAACAAGCTATATCAATACAAATTTCCTGTCATGTACATACAGTGAGAAAAAAAACATAAGCATTCTGTATAGCTGGCTGGATAACTCAGTGCTATCACTCAGGTATCCAGCTTCAGAGCCAGAAGTTGGGAGTTTGAGTCCCTGCTGGGACTCCAGAGAGAAGAGCCTGCCTTTGTAGCCATGGGCAAACTGCACAGTCCCATGGCATGCCCAGAAAAAGGGACTAGTAAACCACTACAGTGGTGTCTCGATTTACGAACTTAAATCTGTCCCAGAAGATGTTCATAACTGGAAATGTTCCTAAATTGAAGCATCATTTCCCATTGAAATGTATGGGACCGCGATTAATACGTTCCAGAATTTAAAAAAAAATACAAAAAAAGCACACAGAAAGCCCCATCGCCTTCCGATGGGGCTTTTAAAACAACAACAACCAAAAATAAACAGAGCAAGCCCCAAAGGCTGACAAAAACCAACCAACCAACCAACCAACCCCCAAAAATAAACAAGCAATCCCCACACTGGGACTGGAAAAAAACACAACAACCCAAAAACACACAACACAGCACAGAAACATAACCCCCCTCAGCTCAAACCCACTCTGCAATTCCCACCCAGAAGTTTTTAAAAAGCAAAAAGCAGCACCTTACCAGGCAGACTGAAGCCTCCTCTGATGGCACACACTCCCTGGTGGATGGCGGCCGGCGACAGGCCCCGGCCAGCGGCGTAGGGCACCCGAGGCGACAGAGGGGACCCTTACTCATGAGTAGACCCAGGCGTTCCGTGGGCCTTATTCATGAGTAGACCCGGGCCAGGGATGGGCAGGGAGCCCACCGGTTTCCCGCGCCCAGCAGCGATCTGAAGCCGCTCCGCTTCTCCTTCCTCCTCATGCGCCGCCACATGCTCTGTCCACAGAGGAGCCCCTCCGATCCGCGCACCCCAGCGCCTTCAGCGGCCCTTACTCATGAGTAGGCCCACAACTTCAGTGGCCCTTACTCATGAGTAGACCTGCGTCTTTGTCAGGCCTTACTCATGAGTAGGCCCGCAACTTCAGTGGCCCTTACTCATCAGCAGACCTGCGTCTTTGGCAGGCCTTACTCATGAGTAGACCCGCACCAGGGATGGGCAGGGAGCGCACCGGCTTTCCGCTCCCGGCAGCGATCCGGAGCCGCCCCCGCCTCTCCTTCCCCCTCCTGCGCCACAGGAGTAAAAAAGTTCCCTGACCTCCTGCTCTAACTGTTGGGCTACAGAGAAGCAGCCTCTTCGCCACCAATGGTTTGAATTTCCTGCCTTTTCCCCTTGCCTTTTTCTGTTCTTACGTTGAAGCTCTGCTCGCAAGTCGAAGCAAAATTTTGCAAGCAGAGCTGCTGTTAAGTCGAAATTTTCATAGGTAGGGACGTTTGTAAGTCGAGGCACCACTGTCCTGAGTAAGCTTTACCTAGAAAACCCTGGAAAGGTTGCCATAAGTCAGAATTGTCTTGGTAGCATGCAATTAATAATTATTACATACAGAATCAGCTTCCTTCTTCAAATTTCACAAACAAAATAAAGTGTACTCAATTTTTTGTGATATAAAATGTTTTAACAAAAGACTTCAATTTACTTTGATACCATTTAGAAATCAAATAGTCCACATTATGAGCTGAACAGTAAGAGGTTCCTTCATTTTTAATGTAGGTCCATGTTTGTCACAGGACATTCATGAAGTTTTCACTGAGAAAAATGTATGTATTATGTATAACTATTAAAGAGCTGAATAGCAGAAGTCTGAAACAAATTAAATACTTATTTCTGTAATGACAAAAATTTGTTTCTTACATTGTAATATGTACACTATACTGTACATAGTTTTATATGCTCAGATCCTTATGCAAGGTTAGACAGCAAGTTAAACTAGAGCCCCCGTTGAGCCATTCTGGCCAGAGCATCTGTCCTTTGTAGAGAACTAGCAGAGGAAACACCTAAATTCGGTTTTCAGATACATTTAGGCCAGGCCCATGGAATCCTCCAGTTTTCTTATCTTGCTGGAGCCACTGTCTGGTTATGTGACTTTCTGGCATGTTTCTGTTACCGGAGATCCCTGCACCTCCTTTTATCTGACACATACAGGTGCTAAACTACAGTCGTGCCCTGCTTAACGATTACCCCATATGACGATGAATCCGCTTCACGACAATGTTTTTGTGATAGCAAAACAATGTTTTAAATGGGGTTTTTTCGCTTTGCGAAGATCGGTTCCCTGCTTCAGGAATCGATTCTTCGCATTGTGACGATCAAAACAGCTGATTGTTGGGTTTTCAAAATGGCCACTGGGTGCTCAAAATGGCTCCCCGCTGTTTTTAGGGACGGAGTCCTCGCTATACAGGCACCGAAAATGGCTGCCGTATGGAGGATCTTCGCTGGACGGTGAGTTTTTAGCTCATTGGAATGCATTGAACAGTTTTCAATACGTTTCAATGGGCTTTTTATTTTCGCCTTATGACGTTTTCGCTTAACAGTGATTTTCCTGGAATGGATTATCGCCGTTAAGCGAAGCTCCACTGTATTATGATAATGTCTGTCAGGCTGAACTTCCAGAATGGAGGATTATGGGATTTATTCCTACTATTTTGTTGCAATGATCTGACTGATTTTATTTAGAAGCACAAAATAAAATCAAAATTATGCAATATATATCAAAAGAAATACCTTTGTCACAGGAAGCTCCTTGGATTTAGACTCAAAGAGGTGCTCTAGCTTGGACGTATCCACCTTTATAGGTTCCAGTTTTGACCATAGGAATCCTTTGCAGCATTTGCTGTTCTTACACTGCCACTCAAATGGCCTCACCTCATTCCAAAAGAGGCGGATTGTTTTCTTCTTTTTTATAAAGGCTGGCTGACCTCGAGCAAGTGGGGGTGACCCTAAACCCTGAGCAGTGCCAAATATAGGAGGGGGAGCCAATAAATTACCCGAGGGTGGAGGGGGAGGGGGACAGCCATAAAATAAGGGAGGAGGTGGAGGAGGTATAATTAAAAAGGAAGGTGGGGGTGGGGGTGGGGGAGCTAAGGAGTCCCTAGGATGCATTTCCATATCCAATATGTCAACGTCATCCTCATCCCTTAAGTCCGTAAAGTCCATGTCTCTGATTTTAAGTTCCCGTGGATTAGCCATGAGTTGATCCCAAATATAGTCTGATTCCTTCTTCGCCTGCACTGTTGCTTTTTCAGAGGCCTTTTCAGTAAAACTGTTTTCAGAAACATTTGTGGTTTTGGTAAGTTCATTATTATCATTGAACCTTTCTGCAAAAGCCTTTACACTGCCCTGATTGTCCAAATTCTCAATTTCCATTTTTTTGACACTTTCCTCTTTGGCCTGCTTTGTGGCCTGTAAGACTGAGATCCTATCGGCCAGGCTAGTGATTGTGTCTTCACTATCCTCCACAGCCTCCTTTTCCTCCGTCTTTTCCTCCAGCTCTTTATCCTTTTCATCCTTGGGCTTCTTGTTATGGGCATATAACATGTCCAGCATAAACCGCTTGTTGTTGAGAATGTTGCTGCTCTGGTCATTCACACCGACATCTTGTATGGTCTGTAACCATGGATCTGAAAAAACACATTAGACATTGAACACAAATGACTCAGGCTGTTGAGGGTTCATACATGTACAGTAAACAAATCATCTTCTTTAGACCACAGCTCCCAGAATTGTCCATGCCAGATAGGGTATTCTGTGAGTTGTAGTCTCATACCTTTTCCAAGTACCAACATTAATACACTGCAACTAGCAATGAACATGGTTCTCTGGGACATTAAGAAATAAAATAACATATGGCTGGAACCTCCATACTACAGTATTTATACAACCAGGGATCTTAGTAGATATGGAACCAATTATATGCATAAAACAAATTGTAGTACAGTGGTGCCTCGCAAAATGAGCACCTTGTTTAACGATGAAATCGCATAATGAAGTTTTTGCGATCGCAAAAGCGATCACAAAACAATGTTTCCTATGGGTTTTTTTCGCTTTGTGATGATCGGTTCCCTGTTTCGCTAACCGATTATCGCAAAATGAAGATTTTCGCACAGCTGATTGGCGATTTCAAAATGGCCGCCGGGTAAAAAAATGGCCACCCGCTGTTTTCTGGCATGGATTCCTCGGTGCACGGGCAGCGAAAATGGCCACGCTATGGAGGATCTTCACTGGACGATGAATTTCAATCGGGTTTTAATGCGTTTCTATGGGCTTTTAAAAATCGCGTTACAATGTTTTAGTTCTACAGCGATTTCGCTGGAACGAATTAATATCGTAATGCGAGGCACCACTGTAATATACTATTGTACAGAACAAAAGTAATGAACACAGCACGTGTAGGATAACTCAATCCACCTTGGTAATTGCCAAGTCAGCAGGAAAATAAACAATTTAAGATTTGTTTCCCTTGATCTAGGACAGAATTACACAACTCATGACTGCATGTGCTCCCAATCAATCTCTGACACTGCTCTGCCCTCTCCAATGCAACAGTGTTTCCAAGCTGGTACTGCTGGTGTGAATGCAGTGATGTTGACCAGTATTGTGGTGGTGGGAGAAGCTAAAGGCTTACCTTTCCCAAAAAACCCAGGCATGCAGCCCTAAACCTTTTGTACTGCTGAAAGGGAACATGGAGCAGATACTCTGGCTAGGACTTCTGAAGGAGAGCGAAAGATATTTTTGACAACAGCCTTCTCTCAACAGTCCAAAAGCAGCTGAAAGTGTTGCTTTGGCTGCACTAATGATGCTGCAAAACTCCTGCTGCCCATTCATGTTTGTGAGAGTGTCCATTCATCCTCCATGATTTCCCAGGGTCAGAGAGCAACAGCAGCGTTCTGACTTTCTTCATTTACTCTAAGGTACTCTCAGCTTGTCCTAACATTTTTGTGCAGGGTTACCAGGATGACGGCAAGGTTAAAGCATGCCTTTAATAAATAAATTCTCTCTCTGTGTGTGCATGTATGCGTGTCTGCAAGCAGTTGCAAATGTCCAAAATCTTCTCAGGTTTCCTTTCTAACGCCAGAGGGATGAAATGGGCTTGTGCAACTCTATTCTACGATCTGTCAACAAATTCATTACTAGGCCTTATAAGGGGGAAATGCCCAAAATCTGTGTATGTAATTGGACCACCATTTTTAATTATCATCTGTATTAATTATCATCTGTGTACAAAATATACTTAAACTGACTTAAATGTAGTCCCAACCTGGACTTACTGTATTTTTCCATGTATAAGACGTCCCCATGTATAAGACACCCCCAATTTTTTAACCCAAAATTAAGAAATCTAAGTGGGGCTTAACAAGTGGAGGGGAAAACAGAGATCAAAGCCCTGCAGGATCACTTTGATCCCTGCTTTCCCCTCCACTTGTTTTTTTCTCTCTCCTCAGCTTACTTCTGTGTACAAGATGACCATCAATTTTTAGTCTAAAGATTTTAGACAAAAGTATAGTCTTATACATGGAAAAATACGGTAAATATGGGAAGTAACTAGACTTCACTAGGAAAGTAACTCTCTTGAATTCTTAGTACATACTTAATATTTCCATATCTTCTAGATGTAATTTCCCTTAATAATGAGAAGTTCTTATTCATTTCTCTCCCCATCTTTTCTTTGTTTAAACTTTGGCATGAGATACTGATTAATGGATTCAATTACACCTAAGAAAACCACAGTGTCCAAGGAGAGAAATACTCTGATTACTAGATTGATGTAGTACTTATTATCATTTTTGCAGGTTTCACAACCCCTAACAACGGATGGGCAAACTCTTCTTTGATCTTCTTTGTAGTTGTCTCTTTTCCATTATGTAACTGCATTACTGTAATTCTCCTTTCAAAATTCTGGTTCACTTTTGTTCCTGTCAAAATGCACTTTACTATTTCAATGAGTTTGCTAATGCCTCCCACAGCATAGCTCAGAAATAGCTGTGAAAAGTGGTGGTGGTGGGAAGACTCATGCAAAGGTTCATTTCTGAAAGCCCCAGGGACTAGACTAGTCTACATCTACTCACAAGAAGCCATAGCTCAGCTTGGGAAACTAGGAAAATATATACTTCCAATTTTGACTTCTCTCCTGCTCAATGAATCTGAAGAGCATGCAGAGATCATTCTATTTTCTCTGTATATATCAGTTAATGAGATCTGGCTACATATGGACACTTTGTTTGATTTATTTATTTATTTATTTATTGTATTTATACCCCGCCTATCTAGTCATTTCGACCACTCTAGGCGGCTAACATCTAGCATAGCTGTAGTCAATGTTCCCTCTAAGTTTCTGTCCCTGTGTGTTGGAGTCTTGCTCTATGTGTCTGGGGGTGGGGGTGGATGGGCAGGGCTTCATTTGAAACAGGAAGTAAACAAACTGGCTGCCAGCTGCCAGTGCACAACCCCAATGGAGCTCTGGGCAAGCACACATATGCACAGCTTAAAAAGAATCTTCGCTGTAGTCAAAACATACATCTACTTTAATTAAAAAGTTCCCAATATCTAACAGGAAATGCTATGAGTGCTTGTACGTTAGGTTGAAATGACAGAATAATCTATAAAACTTGCAAATGGCAGAAGTATGTAAGGAACTGAGTTAAAATGGTGAAAACTGAATTCTCCCAACACAGAAAAGGCCTCAAAACAACTGTGTCTGTGTCATCATCAAGTATTTAACTTGATACAAATGAAGTAAACTGCTTCTTTTCTCACCTTTCCTACTTACTGAAAGAAAGCCCCTAGCCTGCAACCGAGTGTAATGGTAGGGCAGAGCATCATTTTGGCTCAACTCAACTTTTGATTTTTTTACTTTTTCTTTCCACCTACCATGTTTATATTTTTAGCTCTGAGACAGTTGTGTATGTCCTGGCAAATGCTTTCATATTTTCATTTTCAAAACCTCAATATTAATTTTGAACCTCCATATCTTTCCCCTATTAAGCCTGCATAAAATAGATGGATTTTGGTTGAATGAATGTCCTTCTGGAACCCTGAATCTCTTCATCTTCCTGTAAATCATTTATTTAGCAATTTGTACTGTATTAGATGGACATGGTGGCACTGTGGCTTAAACCGCAAAGCTTCTGGGCTGCAAGATTGAAAGATCGGCAGTTGGAATCCAAGCGACGGAGTGAACTCCCGTCAATTGTCCCAGCTCCTGCCAACCTTCCCACCAAAGTGGTCCCTATTTATCTACTTGCATTTGCATGCTTTCGAACCGCTAGGTTGGCAGGAGCTGGGACAAGCGATGGGAGCTCACTCCGTCGCGTGGATTCGATCTTACGACTGCTCGGTCTTCTGACCCTGCAGCACAGGCTTCTGCGGTTTAGCCCGCAGTGCCACCATTTAGCCCGCAGCGCCATCCTAATACTGTATTAGGATCAAGAAAAATAGGCTAGTCTGTATTGCCTCTTTTCTGAAATCAGTATCAAATATTATGGGAAATGATTAAAAAACTTTTATGAAGGCCCATCTCTGTCTCTTCTTTCTTATGGTGCTTCTTATAGCCTAGGGTTTCATATGGTTAGCACAGTCTGACTGGCGGAGGACATTAATGCACACTGCAATTTTATATCTTCTTACATGAGAATGAGCTCCACTGAACTCAATGGGGATGTCTTCTGAACAGACAGGTATCTAATGACACTGTTTTCTAGCTTACATTGCTACCATATGTAAATATATCAGTAGTAATCCCCATTTAATTAAAAAGAAATTATCCCAGGTAGGGAATTGTCAACTTTGTTTTCTATTCCAGAGTTAGATGATCTGCTGCATCTTTCTTCTCAGGCTGAAAGTTTGTATGCTTGATATCTTCATTTCTATCAGTATTTACATACATTTCTTGTTATACTTTCTTAATTACTCTTTCAGGATGGCAAACCCTTTCCTAAAATTGGTAAAGTCATATGGACTGTCATATACGCAAACTACAACTAATATTTGCTCCCTTTATCCCTTGTTCTTCAATGAAAAATAGCTCCTACCCTTTCATTCCCCAATGGTGGAAGGTTTGCAATAGACACAGGGCCCAAATTCATTCCCAAACAGTTGATCATTGGCACAAAACTGCTGTTGACCAGCTATTAGACTATGCATGCAGGGTTCATAATCCAGTGGCTTAGAGTGATATAGATCCTTCCCTGTACATGCTTACTGTTCTGGTATCAGATGCTTTTATATACACATCCTCATTTTCTGGTAGTTCCTCTCCTCCTGGAGACCAAAAGTCATTATGGCTATTTTGACTTTGCATGTGATATTAAAAACAGTGTCCAAGAGTGTCATGAGTACAGGTTGCTGTCCTCTGAAGATGACGGCCACAGAGACTGGCGAAACGTCAGGAAGAACAACCTTCAGAACACGGCCAAAGAGCCCGAAAAACCCAGAACAACCAAAAGCTATCCACTCTCTTTGCCCTTCTGTTATGGGCAACATGTAGTATGTTGAAGTGCATCTGCTCTAAAGACAGAACCATCATATGATCATGAACGGATGTGAATTAATATGTAAAATAATAATTCAGAAAAATTCTACCCTTCTGAAAACTGCACTTCCTTTTCTGTATGATAGCTCCTGATGTGCAGCCTTGATTTTCAGCAAGGTGGTGATACTACATTATTTTGGCAATACTACATTATTTTGGATATCTCTAGACTCTATTTCTATTCTGCTTGTGCATTCAAAAGGGCTTTGAAATATGAATGACGGTCTTCACAATAAGACCCTAACAACCAAGGGATATTTTAAAAACATTACCCACACTAAAATATTTAGTGTGATGTAGCAATCTGAATGCCAGACTAGGATTTTGTCACTGTTATGTGCTGTCAAATCAGAACTGAATTGCAGCAACCCAAATAGGTTTTTCAAGGTAGGCGAGATATTTAGAGAGTAATTTTACCAGTTCCATTCCCCAGCGAGCTTCCATGGCCAAGTGGGGATTTGAACCCTATTCTCCAGACTTCTAGTCCATCACTCTATCTGCTACACCACGCTGGTACCTCAGACCAGGACTTGGAAGCCAGTAAATTCACTGAGTGACCTTGGCCTGACCTATCTCACAGAGTTCTTGTGTACACAGTAGCGCAATGTATACCGCCATTGGTTTGTCTGAGGAAAGACCAAATATAAATGTAACTAAAAAAATAACAACAAATGTCTGAATCTTCTGTGAGTCTGTACAGAAATCCTCCAACAAATCCTGTTTTCAGAATACCTATGAATTGAGGCCTTAACAGATGACATATCAGTTATTAAAAAAGAAGAGGCTTAATAGCTGCTTTTTTTTTCTTACAACAAATATTAAATGGAGGTGCTGTTTTAAAATGACAAAAAGGACAACTGTTATGTTAAAAAAGAAGGCTTCACTTTACCAGTTTCATTGTTACTGGTTAATTTTTCCTCCCTTTCCTCCCTCTCTAAAGTGCTGCTTGCCGAAGATATGCTTGATGCTGAGCAGTTGTCCTTCTCGTTCACATCTTCATTCTGCCTCTCTTTTTCACTGAGTATTGCACTGTCTTCTGTCTCTTGCTCTGGACCTTGCTCCACTTCACTCTCTGGCTCCACCTCTGCAACCTCTACTTCTTGGGGAGTTTCTGTTCCCTGCTCGGACTCTGCCTCATCTTTCTGCTCCCTTTTTGATTCTGCCTCTGGCTCAGGTTCTGGTTCACATTCAGGTTCACTGGCACTCACTAGTGAAAAAAATAATGGAGAAAGATTCACTTAACAACAGTGTTTCTGTGCTTTACGCAGCCAAGTGAGTTTCATCACCCGTCACTTTTTCTGGGGAGTTTTTAAAAAAAGGAAGAAAAGAAATCTGCATCAGCAGCTGTCTTTAAGAAAGAAGCTGAGTCTTGGGTTCAGAATCTGTGCCTGATGCCATCTCGAGTCCCATCTTTTGGAGAAAGGCTGGATATAAATCCAGCAGATAAGCAACAGCTTGTGAAATCTATTTTTCCTCATTGGAATCTAGTGTGGCCAAATGCAGAAGCTTTGATTTATATCTATTTATATTTTAGAAAAGAGGGATGAAATGCCAAATCAGCTCATCTGTATTATGCACTAAGGGGTAAAGAATGTCTATCAGCAAGCAAAGTTTAATTAGAAAGAAGAAAGACAGCAAGAGAAGAAAAAACAACAACAGGGAATTTAACTTTTATCTGCCGTTTGCTCTTTTGCTCAAAACAATGTTTAAAATGCCAATTGATTCTTTTTACCAGATATAATCCTTAAATATAAAAGGTATAAATGTGCTGGTTTGCCCATTATGGCAAATAGCTGGGAAAGGGTAGTGTCATATGCTCAGCTGACAGAAAGCATATGCTTTCCTGTTTCAGAACAGACACAGTTACTGGGCATCTGGTACAGATTCAGCCTTTAATTATTTGGTATGTAGTACAAATTTGTTTCTTAAATGGCTGACATCCAGCACACCTTGCTGAAGGCATTATTGATTTCCTCTTCCTCATTGTATCATGGACAGGGTGAAATCCAGTGAAATCACCTTGATCAACATTTTGAGCTAACCCAGCAGATTTGCACATGGAATAATTTTCTTTTATGCCCTGAAGGATCTGGAAGGCCCCAACAGATACTCAGTCAAGCAGCTGGCAAATTGCTGAATGTAAAGGTGTTCATGCAATCAATCAATCAATCAATCAATCAATCAATCAATCAATCAATCAATCAATCAATCAATCAATCAATCAATCAATCAATCAATAAATAAATATGGGGGCGTTGTCTTTGTGGTTAAAAGGGATAAATATAAAACAGCAGAAGTAATCTTTGTTGGTAATGTACAGGATTTCTAGATGTATTACAGTCTTTCAAATTAAGAAAAGAAAAGCAGGTGCATTTTGCCAATATTCAAATAGGATCAGCAATCTTGTGTGAGTCCAAACATTCTACAGTTGTTTGTGTATATGGTTCATGTGTAAAGCTTTCATTAAAACAAAATATTGTTGACCATCTCAAATCCCACTGCCTTCCAATCCTTAACTTTTGCAGCTGTATTCCTGCCAAAAAATTGACTTCACCAAATTTCCTTTTCCAAAATAATTTCTAAAATTTGGACAGAAGGGCCTGCTTTAATTTCTTTGGAAACTCATGCAAATCTTTTCTGTTGGGGCAATTCATTATTGTACTAATGATCTTTTTTCCCCCTTGAAAGTAAGATCAGTGTATTTGATTACCACTGATTACGGTTAGGATTCCTATTTTAGGACATGATTCATCCTCATGTGTGTGCATGCAGCACTCAAAGCAGAAGAAAAGTCTGTAGAGAAGGGAGGCAGGCAGGGGCCTTCTTAAGGGAAGGTATATCCATCCTCAAGGTATATCTAAGGGTCAGTACAGTCTTATTTGCAAATTGCACAACACTGCACATTTGTTAATTATTGTCAGGTGTTCCCCTGGCAAATTTCCAAACACCTGCTGTCTGCAGAAGGCAACCCAACTGAAAAACCGAGAGCTAGCCTGTGTACCTGTTATAAATCTATTCCCTGTGCACAGTGAAGCGTTCCATTTTATAATGTAACATTTGGAGTAATTCCTAGAGACATATGGCAGAATAATTATCATAAAAGAGATAGCTGCTCTCCATGCAGAGATTTAAACAATCCTAATGGTAGGGGAAAAAATGAGTTTTAATGCCTGACACTGGGTTTGAATAACAGCCATTCTGAATATTTCCGAATAAAAGTGATTTCACAGATATGGCAGTCTCTGTAGGGAATCTAAAAGTCAGTGAAAAAAATAGCCATGCAGAGAAGAAACCATGCAAACTCAAATGAAATTTGACATCAGCACATCCATAATCCACAGTACCCACTCTTTCTTCATGTGCACATTCTTTCAACAACATGCTTCAAGCATTAACAGCCAATAAAGCCAAGGAATGGAATGCACAGAGGCATAATCAAACCAAATGACACGATAGTGAAGCCTTGGCTATAGCATGCACCAGAAAAAAAGTCACAGTACATTATCAAGTATTACCCTGTTTCCCCGAAAATAAGCCCTAACCTGAAAATGAGCCCTAGTATGATTTTTCGGGATGCTCATAATATAAGCCCTACCCCCAAAATAAGCCCTAGTTAAGTGAAACCTCACCTTCCACCATTGGGCAGGAACCAGAAGATGATGACATGACTGTATTTGCATAAATGTAGATTGTTGTACATGAAAAAAAATCCCCTGAAAATAAGCCCTACTGTGTTTTGTGGAGCAAAAATTAATACAAGACCCTGTTTTGTTTTCGGGGAAACATGGTATGAGGAGTTTCTCCTCAGTGAAGAAGTAATTCTTTTCTCAACATCAAGGACAGAAACCTCAAACATACACCACAAATCTCTTCATGCACTCAGATCAATTCTATAAAATACTAATGGGCACCAGACAGACAAAAATACGCGCTTTTAAGCCTCACAGGAAAGATTTAACCATTTGCTTAACTTGTTCTTGCAATCAGTGAGAGCCAGTGTGGCGCTGAGGATTAGAGTGTCGGACTGAGACTTGGAAGATTTAGGTTTTAGTCCTCACTGAGCCATGAAACGCAATGGATAATGTCAAGTTGGTCTCTCTCTGTCAGTCTAATCTACCTCTATTGTGAGGATAATATGGGGAGAAGGAAAGTCATGCTGACTTGAGCTTACTGGAGGAAGGGAGGATAAAAATGCAACTATAGTAATAAATATATTAACAGTGATGAGCTGCACCATCATGCTCTTTATCTCTTCCCCAAACAACTGTGCTTTTTCTGTTATGTTACTAGCATTGCTACATTTCCAAGGTTGTATACATGAATCAAAATGGTGTATTCTAATTATGTTTCCTGTTCAGCGTTACTTCTACTGAAAGACTGATCCTGGCATCCAATAGTTGTGCTTCTTTCAGAGATTTCTACATTTCTTCTTACCTCCCTTCTTCCATCTTGCATCAAAAAACAATTCGGAAATTCTCCAGTTTCAAAAGTAGCTTTGCAACCAGCATGCAAGGCTCTTGGGGAGTTGGGGGGGGCACACCCTCCCAAGCCCTCCAATGCACACAGAAGAGTTGTTGAATCACCTTCTAATCATGGACTCACACAGGCACTGCTATTCCAGTGCTCCATCCAACCAGAATAAATCATTGAAAGTCCCACTGATTGCAGTGAGAGAGAGCTGAGCACATGCTTTAACCCTGTATTAAAACAGATGAGACTTTGAAGCACTGAAATTTAGTCAGAAAATATACATTTAGTGTTTGGGCTTTTAATCACTGCTGCGCAAGGATCTGGAGAAGAGCTGTGTAGCATCAGATCAAAGGCCTATCTTGTGCTGGATTTTTGTTTCTCACAGCGGCCAACAAGACTTTTATGGCAAACCCACAAGCAAAATATGAGCAAAATAACACTTGCATGATCATGTTGTCCAACAACTGGTATTCAGAAGCATACTGCCTCTAATACTGGAGCTAATATATATAGCCAGTAATAGCTGTATCTTCTCTGATGCCATATGCATGGTGGTATATGCATATTTCTTTTAATATTATATCGGAAAAAATGTACTGAATCTTATAATTCATTCATAAGATATCAGAGAGCTCTCTTAAGAATCAACAGACTAGTCAACAATATCTTGACATCTGCAACAATATATCTACTGAAATTGCAAGAAACGACAAAGAACTGCTGTTTTCCCCTTCTGGATTTGTCAGGACTTACCATCTGGAGTCTGAGCTATCCGGAAAGACGACACAGGAGTCTTTGGTTCCTCCTGAGAATCTGTTGAGGCTGGGCTTGCACACTTAGGAGAGGGAACGGTTGGTACTGAAGGAGAATCCAAATTCAAGGACAAGTCACTCCTGCCCCTACATATGCTTCGACTTCTCAGCTCCTTCTCATACTCTTCAGCTGCCAATTTCTCCAAAAATTTGTATCTGAAAGTTAAATTCCAAAGGGATTCCGTAAAAATTGAGAAAGCTGTAGCTGATGCTTATTTAGGGGCGAGACATCTGCGGGGGAAAAAAAGCTCAGTTCTTGATACATGAGGTGCACTGCAAAACTGACTGCCGGGTAAATCTTCAGGGAATGTGGTAAAATGCGGAATCCCGGAACAGAAATAAATAAATAAATAAAATAAATTAGACTAAAGAAGCGTAATGCTTATTTCCAACCAAAAGATAATACTAAGTGGTTCTCAGGAACTAAGCACTGTGTGTGGGGGGGTTATCTTCCTCTTAGAACTATTTATCAGCTGCTCATTGCTCCTTCTTTTCTTTACAAAAATCCTTCCAGGTCTCCCAGTTAAAGAAGACACAATCCTAGTCTTGCTGGAGAGACAAGGGGAAAAGCTTAGAGTCTCACAGGCAAACAGATCTTGCGGTAAATAATAGCACTTACAAATGGTTGGACTAAGAACAGTCTGAGCCTCTGAACCTGCTTCTATTTGCTCTACAAGAAATACACTGGAATTCACTTTGTTCTCTACAGCGTCTACAATGGAAACTTTTTTTTAAAGTTCTAAAAGATTTCTCAGCCAGACTCAAGACATCCAATAGCTTGGATATGACGTCACATATAGTTTATTCATCAAAGTCAGTTGAAAGGAACAAAGCTACATCTGCTTTGCATTTTAGGCAGGCAAGACTCACTAACTGTTTATTAAGACCAGCTACCAATCATATTCTCCATGCAGTTCTTTATATGTTCAGATCAAAATAACTTTAAAATATGTGCCTCTTGCAGATGTCTAATTTTGTCCACTATTATTTGCTCTTGAAAACAAATATATGAATACAGATGTAAAAGCAGGCTCTTGACTCTGTTACCCAGAAGTGAACTTTTCAAAAAAAGGCAAATCAAGACTAATTTCCTGCACCCCTGATGGTAAATACTTCATATGCACCACAGCAAAAGAAAGACATTGTCTTTTCTGTGAAACATTTCCCAGTAATCTGACATGATCAAATCAAGCCTGAAGTTTCTCTGGAGGTAGAAATGACAAAACTGAAGCTGTCATACTTTGAGTACATCATGAGAAGAAAAGATTCAGTGGAAAAGACAATAATGCTGAGAAAAGTAAAATGTAGGAGGAAAAGAAGATATGAAATATGAGATGGATTGACTTCATCAGGGAAACTATAGGCTTGGGTTTAGAAGAGCTGAGAGGGGCTGTTGTGAACAGGATGTTCTGGAGTTCACTCATTCATAGGGTTGCTAGAGGTCAGAGGTGAGATGGTGGCATATAATAATAACAAAACTAATAAGGAAGACACAGTAAGGAATAAGGAAGACACAGCCGCCTAGAGTGGTCAAATTGACCAGATAGGCGGGGTATAAATTAAATAAATAAATAAATAAATAAATAAATAAATAAATAAATAAATAAATAAATAAATAAACAAATAAATAAATAAAG